AGATTAGTAGAATGAATATTTCTAAAAATTTATTATTATTATTATTATTATTAAATTCTTAAGAAATCCCTAAAAGGATACACTGAAATTGCATAATATAATTAGGGACAGTAATAACACCATATTAGGCTAAAATGATTCTACCAGCAAATGAAGTGGAATTCCTCCTAATTTTGTCTGTTAGACTTACATACAAGCCTTTCTTATATGTTCCTATTAACTCTTCATATAGTCAGAATATTTAATGCCTAACTGTTGAGTTAAGATGTTTTTCTTTGCAGGAATTAGTATTAGAAGAGAAAAAGACCGTTGATTTAGCTTTGTTAATCTATCGACTAAAACATCACAAAACAGTTGCATAGCAGATTAAATGACCTGAACTGGGATACTTGACGTGTAAAGTTGATTAATTTAAAGACATCCTTGTGTCCAATAGCTTATCTAATAAATTTTGCTACAAAGTTGACTTTAGAATAAAATTTTAAAGTAGGCCAAACTTAAAATATAAAGTAAAAAAAAAAAGAAAAAGAATCAAACCTTTAACTTAGAAAACTATGTCAAGCTTAAGCTGTTTAAAGTTAACCTAAGTAAATCTATTTCTACCTTTAATGTGAAAGATGAATGCTGCTCACAAAATTTCAAGGTTTTGGCAAACTAGACAGGTGTGAGGTTCACATATGCAAGGCCAATCTTGTGAGATATGAATATATATGTTTCAATTGACGTTCTTTTACTTTCATTCGAACATTGTTTAAAATGGCTTATAAGTTTTGAACGCCCTCTATCGACGCGTATCACAGGCCATGATTCTCAATTTTCACTTACGCGCATCACATGAAACAGCCTACGGTCCTATAATGTTCCAACCTCGCATAGGTTGGGTGACGTTCTCCTTTTCCCCTTTCCATTTTCTGCCGCGACAAACCTCAAACCCACTGTTTCTTTTATTCCCAAAAAGCATTCGACTTTTTCATTTGATAAAAATTTTCGGGGTTACATTATGCATCTCTCTGTCTACTTTATTAGTTTTTTCTATAGAAAAAAATGGAAAAAGGAAAACACGTGAGTACTGCCATGGAATAGTGTGGCCTTCATCTCAACCGAAGGACGCATAGATGGACAGGTTTTGATTAGGGGCACTCGAATTATTTAGTACGTTTCAAGTTTCCATGTAGCTGTCTGTGTCAATTTGGAACATGAAAAAGACGGGTACTACTACCATGAAAGGATTAAGTTTTGTTACATTTGTTAAATAGTGTCACGTGCAATGGCATTATTAAATAAATTAACTATAATATTTACATTAAAATTAAACTCCTCAATAATATAAATATAACATTAGAATATAGTCATTTTTCCTTAATTAAATTAAGAAAAACTGAGTATAACTTAATCTTAACCAATGTAAAGTTTTAATCAATAAAAAATGCATCCCATGTATTTAAAACTAATGGGATTAACTAAGCTATTATAATAATATTTAAAAATTAATTTTAAACTTCTTAATTACTTATAGTTTCCAAGAAAATAAGGAAGAATTGTGAGAATAAAGCGACGAGAAGAACTCGAACTGACAATTGAACATCGAAAGTGGATTTGGGTCTCATTGATTAATGATTAGAGTGGGAGACTACGTTAAAGCTGCATAGCATATTAACCTGCAACGATTCTCCTCCCTGATATAGTATTCCTATATAATATATTATATAGAAAACACATATCTCAACCATTCATTCTAATAGTTTATCCACTGGATCAATTAATTTTTAATAAAAAATATTTACATTTTTCATATTTTTTTCATTGAAATAAAAAAATAAAAGATATAACATTCTTTTGTATTAATCTCAACCAACACCTTTCCTTAGCCTATTTATAAGTTCGCATTAATGTAAAAGTTTATTACAGTATATTTAAATTAAATTTATAGTTTATCACATATAAATTAAAATATTTCTATTTATACTTCATGTATTTTATTTTTCCAACTTCGCGCAAATTTACACTATTTAATACATTAAAAAATAATAAATAAAAATATAATTATTTATGACATTAAATAAAATATTTATTTAGAAAATAATTTAATCATAATTTTTTACAAAAAAAAGAATATAAAAAATAGTAAATAAAATAAAATATAGTAACCGATGTCTTTATCAATTAAAAAATTATAAATAAAATGTTCTGAAATGTTTAGCTCCTCTTAATAAAAAAATATAAATAAAAAACACATTAGAAAGTATAATATTATCCTCCCGATGAGTTTTTTTTTTATGTATATTTAACACGATTTTCCAAAACACATTTCTATTTACTGTTTTTAACCAATATTCTAAGAGTTAAGACATTAGTTAATAAGACTTGTAATCAGAAATGTGTGTAAAAACTTGAAACCTTAAACAAAATTATATACAAAAGAGTATGTAATGTAAACTATTATATTTTATATTTAAAAAGTTAAAATTTATTAAAAATAAAAAATATTTATTTATAAAAAAAGTAAATTTATATTATTTTTATAATTTTTAATAAATTTTAATCAATAATAAAATTTGTATTAAAAAAATACTTGCATTATATATATATATATATATATATATATATATATATATATATATATATATAATGCTTCTGGACCCCTGGGACGGACCATTGGTGTGAGAGCGAAGTGACAGACATTACACTTTGCACTGAAATTTTTGTCGCTATGCTGTTGTTTAAAGTGCACATGCAAGTATCTCCTCTTCATCTTCCTTCCCTCTCAAATTATTACACGTGACTAATATAATATTAGGATAAGAAAACTAAAATAAAGTGATTGTATGTTTATTTATTTCCAATAATAAAAATAATATGTTTCTCTCCCCATATTTTACATCGTAGAAAAAACAAAATAAAATAGATTCAATAATAATTTAAAAACTGAAATGATTTTTTAATACATGTTTAATAACACATAATTAAACTATAATAAATTTTTGTGTTTAAATAATTCTTAGTCAAACAAAAACTAATAAATATAAAATTAATTTCTAATAAATTAGAGGACTAAAAAAGAATTAGTCTCCATCTTCTAATATGTAGATCATAGATAAATAATCATGGTCATTTTTTATTAATTTACTAAAAATTAATATAATACAGAGCATAAATATATGCACCCATTCCACTGAGAAACACGATAGAACTAACCATCTTTTGGTGTGATTGTTGACAAGGGTTGGGTGGTTTCTACTTTCTTTCTCGTGAAACTGAGTTCAAAATATTAATCATCTCTGACTCTTCTCAACGTGGAGCAACTTAAAGATGAGCTTCTAAATTCTAATGATGAAATGTGTTCTTTTTGTTGTTGGTAAAGTGGGCTCAGTTACCGTGGAGTGTCAGTGCTATGGCCTCGTGGGCTTGAGCTGAGCCTCTACAACATTACAGGTTATAACGACATTTGTTATAGGCCTAAAAATATAATAATAACATTTGTTTAATTTATAACTTTATAGTCACAAATGTCAATAAAAAAAAAGCAATGACCCAAAAAAGGAAAAGCGAAGACAATCATTCGGACCTAACTAGGGTAGATCAGTGGGATATTATACAAAATTTACTATTCCTTTTATTATCAGACTTAACCCTTACACAAATTGCTCTCATAATATATGCTACCAAGACAAATAATAAAATAAAACTCTAATTTTTCAAAGAGTCAAAACTGTAATCTCATAAATTAATTTTTAAAGTTTATTTTAACTTTTTTAAAACTTAATAATTAACAAAAAAAAAAACATTTAAGCACCTGCGTTAAAAAAATTATTACTATCCTCAAGACAAAACCAAATGAGTACAAAAGTAGAATAATGAGAAATAGTAAGCCTTTTCAGGTTCCAGAAAAAAAGTGTGCAAGTGAGACTTGGTTGCAACAAAGCAGTTTGCACCATTCAAATTAAAATCACGTACAATTTACAAATGGGACAGCTACTGCAATACGGCATGTTAACTGGCCACACTCAATCATGTGGGACTATATATTGGGTATCTTTGCTTATTTAAACATTTTTTTCAATATATATCTTACGTCATAAATTAAATGATAAAATTTATTGAAATAAATTGAAAATAATTTAGTTAATAAGCCATACAAAAAGCTTATTGAAATAAATGAAAAAAGTAAAAAATGATTCATAAGCTCCTACAAATAATAACAATAATAACAAAACGACATGGTCCCTGTCTAAAAATTTATTAATATTCAACGACTAATTATAAGGTAACTTTGGTCTCTTTCTTTCTCTATGTACGCGTGCGCCCACATTTAATAAGATGATTGATTTTTAACTTGCAATAAAAAGAATAAATATTAACTATATTTACATTACAAAAATGTTTTTTTAATCCTTTTTATAATACTTGTTTAAAATTTTCTGTTAATTCTTATTTTTTTATATATTTAATTTTCATAAATATTGAACCTTTCTAGTTTGTTTTTACAATTATTATTATCGAGTTTAATTTTAATTTAAAATAACCTTAAAATGTTATAGTTATTTTTAAAAAATTAATATATTAATTAGTTTCAATAACTTTTTTTAGTTTATATAATTTTAATAAAAAAATCTTATGAATAGGATCAAAAGAACAACTTTTTAATATTACAGAGGAGGACAATGTTATAGAAAGCTTAAAAAAAATAACTTAACTTTGCAAACTTAACTGTTTATTTAAAATTTAAGATCCATCTCTTTTATGCATAACGGTCAATAATTTTCTCTTCCTCTAAATATATTATGGATTTATTTTACAGTTATCAAAACGTTGATGGAGATTGCAAAAAAATTAAAAAGTACATCTATCAGAAATCCGTGATTAAGACGTAAAATAAAATTAATCTCAACAATAAATTTAATATTAAAACATGTCACATTTTGTCTAAATGTGAAAAGCATACCCTAATCCTCTATCCTAATTGTCCTCAAATGAGTAAACGTGCGGTAGAAAATTTGATTAAGACAGCCCAAAAAAGCTATTTCCCTGGCTTTTGAAAAAAACGGCAGGTCCAAGGTAATGCATGCATCACCCTTAAAACGACAATTGCATTAATCTAAGGTACTTTAGCCGCGACCAAAGTCAACTACAAATCTTCTCTTATGGTACATAGTAACAGCCTCCAAACACGAGGTTTGGCAACACAATCTAACAAATGACACTTCCCAAAAAAAATTTAAAACTTTTTGAAACGAAAAATTGAAGACGGATCCAGTTTTCGATAACTTTTAATGGGTCGTGGTGGCACAATAATCGTGTACTCTCAAGACACTGGAGCATATTCTTGGATGGTTGAAGCCAGTTTATTTCGATCATCTTCTGTTTTCATCCGGATCAAGAATGTACGTGCAACAACACTATCATTTTCTCCACCGCTTCCATCAGCATTACCCTACAAAATTCTCGAGTTTAACATACATTTCCGCTGGCAACTGAATCGTAGAAGGTGCGGTAAAACTGCTCAAATAAATAAATGAGAATGCAAAGACTGGAGAATCTAAATGAAGGGAAGCTTTTCAAATAACAACCATCTAAGACAACTAGGTACAGGCTTTTTCAACAAAGACCATCGAATGATAGTGATATTCAGGACCCTTATCATAAATATTTTATCATATTATTTTTCTCCTATAAAAACAAATAAAACACTTAGAGAAGCTAATGATATTAGTTTATATAAAAAAGACTGCTTTCAATTTCTTTTAAGCTGATTTTTTTTTTACATTACATGTAGAGATTGTTTGACAACAAAATATAGAATATCTTGTTTTGTCCTCCCCACAAAACTGATTATCAATAATTGCAATAGAAGAAGCTGTAGAAGCACCAAGTGCGAAACTAATCGCCCCATCACGGTAGAAACGTAGAAAAGGATGGACTAAACAGCTTTGGTGGTGATAAAAGTATAAAACCACTTCAATGACACACAGGACGCATGTTGAACCTAGGAACAGGTTAACTGATGAGCTACAAGCCTAGAACACCTGACTTCAGCTGGTGATCATCCCTAACAGTTATGTAGAACTGCATGCACTGTAATCTAGTTTAAACATTTCAAGTTTCCTTTCTAATCTCAAAACATTCAAGCATTGTTATCCAATACAGTGCTGTTTTTATTTTAGCTCATATTAAACTTCTTTTTAGTGTGTGCATGCAAATCATCTGCAGGTATTTAGCTAAATGTTCAATATTTCATTGCCTTACCGAGGTATGGAATATTGCAACAAGAGAATTCTTCTGCATATTTGTCTTGATTCCTGGATACAACAAGGCATTGAGAAGAATTTTTCCTACCTGCCATCAGTTAAGGTAACAGAAACTGAAACATAAGTGAGGTTCTCAATGACATAACCATATATTACATTTAGATCGATTCCCTAAGAAGATACAAGTCTATAAGCACTAAAAATATATAAGATGAACAAACCTCATTTCGAACAACAATTGTAGGTTTAGACTCTTTGGTAGCCTTGCTAACACCCTCTTTGCATTTAATTGACAGTTGGCCCATTCCTTTATCTTTCCATACATCCTTATCTTCTGGATCACTTGACTGCACATACCAAGGAGAAGTGGAATTGAAACAAGCAGAAAAATAAAAATGCTGCCCCAAAATTGCAATGATCAATATAATTATATATTGGTATAAAAATTTACACAAAATTACAAAAAATATACCTTCACGTAAAGCTTGCACTTCACTTCATGTACCACTACAACACCTTTCTCTTCTGACTTCTTCACTGATGGGCTGCTAGGCTGCTCCAATTCATTTTCTGAGGCCAAATCAAGAATATTTTATTCATCATGCCTACTTCTTTCTGAGAGAAGTTATAGTTGATAATGCCATGAATATTATTAAATGTAACTCCACCTAGTGACAGTATAAACAAAAAAATGGCTACTTTGGTAAGTTTAAGCTTAGAAAAAGTAATTTCGTGGTAGAGCTTTATTCATAAGCTACTTTGGTAACTTATTTAGAAAAGCTCCAAAACCGTTTGTTTTTTTTTTTTAATTTTAAAGTTTTAGTTTTTTTCAATTGTTACATAATTTTGATAATCATCTTTAAATTAAAAAAACACTCTCTAGAAAAACTCAAACAAACAGGCCCGAACATGACAAACAAGATTATTTATGGTTTGCATAACATTGAGCCACAGTACAAGGCCATCAGTAAAAGTGTTTCTAAAATGTCAATGTTACCATCAGTAAAAGAATATTTGGACAAAACTGTCCCTTTTACCCTGAGTAAAGTGAAAAAGAAAACTAGTCAAAGGATAAGAACCAGCAGTGCCCTTTGCCTAATAACAAATCTATTCCAGTGGCGTTCTAAAGAAAATAAATAAATAAATAAATAAAGGAATGAAAGAAATGATATTATTCAGATTTGAGACTAGAGCGAGATAACAGACAATGACAAAATGACCCGTACTCCTTTTTATGTCTAATAGGAGTTCCTTTCACTATTCATAGGAAAAACAAAAAGATTCCATTTTTGTCTTGCAAAAGCTGCAGATTTAATTGTTCTTTCAGCATAGGGTATCTTTCACCTAAGGCATTGCATGTTGAGGAAAAGAGGTAAATATATATCCATACAACAGCATGATATTGATGGCCAGTCATACAATAATCAGCACCACCTACCACCAATAAAAGGAAGCAACCTTCATTTATAATTAAACAAGAACAACTTGACACTAAAAGATAAATGAATTTCTTCAAAGAGACCTCTGGCATCAGAAAAGGTCACAATCAGAAAAATCAAATATAAAGTATAATTGCTAAAACAATTAACAGCAAGAATAAAGTGAAAAAGCAATGAGCCCTCACCACCATCTACATCATTTGAAGCCTCATTGTTAGGTGGAGCTGAAGTTTGATGTCCTAAAAATAGAGAGAGGGAAACTTAGCAGCCAGTCACAAAAGTGATATAATTTTCCGCCCAAGTTCAACATATATAGCATTGAACTTGTTAAAATAAATGCTAGGAAAGATTATTAAACATGTATTGTTAACTTTGCTAACTGTTTTTGTTATTTATCAACAGTCTTTTATTTTACAAATTTATAAGAAAATGCAATAAGATGTTTTATTTTACAAATTTATAAGAAAATGCAATAAGATGTTCCAGTCATGAGATGAGCATCTGTACAGGGATAGATAACTAGCTTCGCTTCAAAGACAGTTAACACAGACACATCACGGCAATAGAATATTCTTTACAAAGCTCCAATTTATTGTTAGATTCCTGAGCCAGTTTGACACAAGTAAAATGGAATCTACTATCCGACATGGTGTGTGTGTGTGTGTGTGTGTATATGCAGACATACAATCAAAATTTTATGCTTTTAAATTTATAGAAGTAATATTCTGGTTCAGCTTATTTAGAAGAAATATTTTCCCTTTTTTTTTCAGCTTCTAGAGAAAGCTTTGACAAAAAATAAAGGCAATTATTTGGTGACACATCACCAAATGCAACCAGTCTAATGTACCACCAATGTGACCTCAAATAAAGTGTAAGAAGAGAACATATTGGGCATCGTTTTTAAATGTAAACAGACATACCAAATGCAAAAAGATTTTGACTGTTTGAAAACATTCCAGTGCTCCATGAACTTGTAAAATTTGTAGCAGCAGTAACAGGAGTAGACCCAGTTTTTTCTCCAAAAGATTTATTTTCCTTGTTCATTACTTCAGTTGAGAACTTTTTCCCAGAAAATGAAGCACCAGCATCACCAGCCAAATTTTCTGCCTTGGTGGCATTTGCTTTGAGCCAGTTGACGACATCACTAAATTTTTCCTGAAACAATACAACTATACAAGGTGAACTTTTTCAATTCTGTATATGAATGATTTGCACCATTATTTAGAGTACCTGAGTAGCAATATAATTCTAAATGAAAAATGGACATGCATGTTAATACTAGCTCAAAGAATTTGGGGTGCAAGAAGCCAAGGACTAGGAGTAACAAGCAAATATGCTCCAACACTTTTAGCTGCTATCCCACCAGGGAAATAAAGAGTAGGAAGCAGGTGAAAGGGTTTTATATTATAAATAAAATAAGATGATTTATACTTGTCCCTCTTAACAAAAAACAGATTCCAAGTCTAGGTAGAAGAAACAGAAATAGTACTACTATAACCATCAATGGTTACTTCTCAAGTAGAACTTCAGTGTTTTCATGAATGTAGGCATGCCCATTAGTGTGCAAATATCTATTTATTTCATTGCAGCACGCATAGCCAGCAAAGTAACATTACTACAAGATATCAGATCAGCTTCCTATAAAATGGTACCTTCCATAACACATTAAGTATGAGTACAGATAGAAAAACCATGTAAATTATAAGTACAGATGATACATAGATTTTAGTGAATTAAACCATGTAAGGAATTACCATAATGCTTGAAGCATGATCTAAGTAATCTCTGACACCGTCTTCCCAAAGCTCATCAGGATGATTCTTTAGTTGTGTTTGAACCCAACTGTGAGGAAGACATACACCACAACAATGAGAAAGGTTATGCAAGAGCCAACATGTCATTACTAACCCTACCAATGCAAAATCTTTTAACCTATACTGTAATATATCAAGACAAGATGATGTGTAACAACGACAAACAAATAAGCTAAACCCAAAGTACAGAACAGTAAAATTGAAATGGGGAAATCGAAAAAGACAAATTGTTGATATAAATAAAAGATGAACCTTGCAAACTGGGTATTTAAAGCTCTCACATGCTGCTGTGATGATTCTGCCCGTTTCATATCCAATTGTGGTGTTGCCACCATTGGTTGTTGGGAAGGTTCAGCCCTATGGAAATCAAAGAGGGACCCTTCCATTATCCTTTTATTCCGGAACTGCACCACGGTGGAAATGGAGATAAAATAAGTACAATTATTCTTTCTCATTCAAAATTCTCAATAAAGAAGGGATGTCATATCGAGCTGTTTATAGTTACATGCATGACTCAGCAAAAGTCAAACACTTAGAAACCAAAATTCAACATTGAAGATAAAGCATAAAACTACCGTCAAGAAAAAGTGCAAAATATTAGCGAGAGACGATCCAGTTTTAATTCCCACCACTCTCCCACAATACCGGAACTAATGGGTCGAGCGGCTGATTGTCAAAGACGGTTAACAATCAAAAGCACGTTTGAAATAACCAGTTTTCTAAGCGGCTATTTACTATTTTCTACTTCCAAGTGCTATTGTTCTTCAATCAACAGCCAACAATTACTGAATCATAAAATAAGGAGAAAATTCAGAATGCTAATTACGAGCATCTTATGTGCGCAACCAACAGTAGATAAATCAATAGAACAAAAAAGAAAAATGAAATAAATGCATCAATATGCTTCTCACAGTTGAAAACTAGCTTGAAAATCCTCTCCTATTAAAAATTGGGAGTAAGAAGTTGGAAGTAAAGTACATAAATAAAAACGAATTAAATTGGAAATTAGCGGAAGCTTCAGAACGACAAAGACAATTGCGTTAATAGTCACACTTACTGTCGTTTCGCTGGTATCGGGCGGGTTGGGTTCCGACACGGCCAAACGCTTCGAACCTTTCATCATCGATTATGGGAAATAGGGTTTTTGGGACAATTACCAGTTACGCAAACGCAGAAGCAGGAATCGATAGTTAGAGGGAGACAGTGGAATTAGATGAAATGGGAAGCCTCCTTTTCTGAAAAGGGCACTTTCTGAGGGAAAGAAAAGAAAACTATTAAAACACAAAAATTCCAATATATTTTCTCAAAATTAAATGGGTCAATTGGGTCCCTTGGATCGGGTGGGGAACTCACTTTCAATTTGAACCGTAGGATGGACTTCGACTAGGGTTTATCTTTATACCGGAAACTTCATTCACATGGAGCACGTGCTGTCCCGATTGCATATCTACACCGCTGAGGGCCACATGCATATGCTTGGTCTTGCTTAAGCCCAATGGGAATGATGTGGCAATTTCATCTCCGAATTTTGAAAGGAAGTCCAACCCATTATATATTTTATTTTACTTCCACTAAAAGAAAGAAAGGTAAATTATAAAAATTAAAATGAGACACACTTTATCTTTTTTTTATCCTGGGTTATTTTTAAATTCCTACTTTTTCTTTTCCCTTCTCAGAGAATGTAGCATAAATTCAATTTAGTAGTGATTAAATAGATATTCTTTTGCCAAAAAACCTGGTATTTAAAAAGGTAATAGATATCTAAGGATGTGATTGAATGGCGATTATATTGTCTGTTTACATTGGAGTTTAACAAAATCATTCGGGGGGGGGGGGGGGGGGGGGCGGGGAAATCAAATTACGAGGAAACTCTATGTTTTATTGTATATTTTTTATATTTATTTAATTAATGGAGAGAAAATTAATATATAAAGAAAATAAAACCTTAAAAGAAGGATCATTTATATATATATATATATATATAATATTTAAAAATTATATATATTGAAATATGGTATTTTTAAAAATTATAAAAATTTAAAATTTAAAAATTATCAATAACAATTTTTTGTAAAGCTACAAAACTTTAAAGATAAAAAAAAATGATAAAATCTCAATAATAATTTTTTTTTAAAATTAAAAAATTAAAAGTCACTAATAATAATTTCTAAAATAATAATAATAAATCTAAAATATAAAAAATAATTAAAAATTATCATTAGAGATTTTTTTAAAAAAATAGTTAAAAGTCACCGATGATAATTTTTAACGAAAAAAGCATACTGAAGTTTTATCAAGAATTCCATATTTTTGTACTTTTGAAAAAAAAAACGCATAAAAAGACTATACTATATTATTTTTTTAAGTTTTTAGTTTTTTTTATTTCTTTTAATTTTACGAAACCTTACGCATTACAAAATTGTTGCTCGTTCGACTTAGTTTCTTTTAAATAAGTATTATTTTATTATCTCAATGAAACTGTTTTAAAAAATGTTATTTTTTAACACAATTAAAATGAATTAAATATAAGCAACATTGCTAGATCAACGTTTTGGTACAAAGTGCACAGGCCTGCTTTGGAGAAGACGAACGTCGGTTGAGTTCTTCCAAGTTCTAAAAAAACCTCCACGTGTATGCAACACTCGTTAACCGTGACTTCATGATATCAGTAAAACCATATTTTACTCACAAAAGTTAGAAAATTTCGGCGTCTTGTTTTCCCTGGATATAATATAGGGAGAAGAGACGAAAAGGAAAAACCAAGAAAATAAAGATATGAAGATAGAATAAGCTACTTGCAGTTGAATCTTATTGGTGCTAGCACGTGGTGAGGTCAAGGACGAGCTCTTTGACCAAACTAATGGAGAACTCAACTTCGAGCTCCATGGCCAAGCATTGTATTTCCTCATCAGAATTTGTCCAACTCCCACACTTGTCCATCTCCTTAATGTATGTATCCCTTCCCTTCCGTACTTGAAAACTCAAATATTGTTCCTTTGGCCCACGTATCCAATCCTCTGCTACCTCGCAAAGTTGGCGTTTCATTATATTTTCGATACCACAATTCTCCCAGATACTCTGTTTGAAGAAATCAAACAGCAAGGTCTCTGTCTCAATTTTCAAACAGACAAGTGGAATTGATTTTTTAAAAAGGGTGAGAAGGTCCCGGGCATTCTCTTCCACAGTGTCACGAAGCGGGTTATTGTTCCTGCTTTGTGTATTCGTAATTGATACAAACACTGGACGAGGTTCTGTGGGGTGGTTATTTATTGATTCATCTTTCTGCAGTTCTAACCACGATATCTTTTTCTCTAAAGCAACGGGCTTCAGTGAAGCCACGCGATTGAAATGTCGAGTCTTCTGCATATGCTTGTGTTTGGCTACTGTAATTAGATGATCATATGCTCGCATTTGTCAGATAAAGTAAAATATATTTATGTGAGAGAAATTAAGATGGGGGAAGGAAGAGAGAAAATGACCTTCCTGGCGGGAACATGATATAGAAGCGAATGGAGACGTAATAACTTCATCTTCATCAAATAATGGACAATCTAATACGGATACAGGACTAAATTGTTCCTTCTCCTCATTTGGCCAATCCTGTTACACACGAGTCAACTTCCAATCCATAAATCTCCTTAGAAAATGAAAATAAATAAATAAATCCTGCCATATCTTTTCTGTCTATAAATCTTTTTTATTATTAAACGACAAAAATGGTAAATATTTTTTATATTTTTAAGACAATAAATCCTTATATATATATATATATATATATATATATATATTGTTATTTAATACATTCTTTACAAGGCAATAAAAAGATTATAAAAAAATGTTATAAGCGACTATAGCAAAACCCCTTTTATGAATTTCTAGAACTTGCAGTTGTTTCGATAAAAATGAGATAAGAAAAAATAAAGTTGAAAATTTTTTTCAAAAGAAAAAAATTGACAAGCATGCAATTTTTATTTTTATATACTACATAAAAATAATATATATCAAAATATATAATTTTTTTAAGCATTACAAAAATATGGGATTTAAGAAAATGTCGTTGACAATTTTTGTTGCATTCAATGATAGAATAAATAAAAATTATAAAATATCAAAAATTACCAACGATAATTTTTTTAAAAATATTAAAACCAAATTTAGCTAATGACATATTTAAAAAAATAATAAAAAATTTTAAATTATCCAAAACTTGCCAATGTCAAAAGGTGTCATTTTTGAAAAAAAAAACATATATTTTTTTAGAATTTTTCTTAATATTCTATATTTTGGTATTTAAAATTTTTTTCATATAAAAAAAGCCCAAGCATGCACCTTTTATTATTTTCACTTTTCATGCTCTGGTCGAATATTAATAACTCAAAATTCTTTTCTGGTCCCGCGTTTGGATGGTTAAAAATAATCAAAATGAGTTACAAGAACATAATTATGACCTTGTTTTTTAGTTGGCGTTTACTTGAGAAGCCTAGTCCCATTAAATTAACTCATGGACCCTCTACCACACACGAAGTCCAAAAAGACTTGTTCGTTGGGAAGTCAATTCATGACGACTCAAAAACGTAACATCTGTCCAATATTGCAGGATAAAATGTCAAGTGTTAGTGCGGCGATGGATCGCACTGCGATTTAGTTAAAAGCATAAAATAACCAAACCAATTCACGATAAACATCAACACCGACAGAATATTGAGAAAACAACATCTCGCGACTTGCTCGAACTATCTCTCGGGTCTTTCTAAATACGACAAAAAATTCCAAATTTTCATATCAGAAAAAAAATTAAAGCAGCGATAATTCAATTCAATTCAATTTGGAACTATACTTTACTTACCCTTGTGGAGTTAGTTACGGAGCATGTGTTAGTTGTTGTAACTGATCCCTCGATCTCAGCGTTAGTTAACGAACAAGTGAAATGTGACTCTGGGCAGCTGTTAGTGTTGACGGTGCTCTTGAATGTGGTAGTTTTACCTCCTTTGGACGATCTTCTCCAGAAGCTTCTGCTTAACAGCCTCCGAGAAAGGCTTGTAGAAAGACGGTGACCTCTCTTGGCTGTAGACCATTGGGTTTGGGTCAACGAGGGAGACCTCTGTAGAGCTGAAATGGCTACCGATTTGATAGCGTTGAGGAATGCTTCCGAGGCTTTGCGAAGAGTCGATTGGGCGGAACAAGAAGAAGAGAGAGGTTGGAAGCAGCATTGTCGGCGGGGGAGTGATCTGAAGCCGCTGGATGAACATGAACTTAGATCGTCCCTTAGATAATCCTTGAGCAATAACAGAGTGCTAGTTTCGGGATAACTGAGAGGTTTATCAGAACCAGAAGCCATTCTTGCGTGAGAATGCGTTTGAGTTTGAAAATATGTTATAGATTGAAAATTAATTAGTCAAATATGAGGGAGGGAGGAAGGAAGAAAAAGGGTGAGCTGTGGAGTTAATGGTTTGAATGATATATGAGAGAGGGACAGAGAAAGAAGCAATTAATGATTGGCGCAATATGCAAAATGTGTGGGTTAAAAAGGAAGAAACAGAGGGAACCATAAATTCGTCTTCTGAAAAATCAGATGCGGACCTCTTCCATTGGGGGTCACAACCATGCTTGAGAGAGAGAGAGATGTTTATTTGAATAGCCGGAGAGGGGAAACAGAAAGAGACAAATTGCTGTCTACAGAGAGAGAGCAGGAGAAGTAATGAAAGATTAAACAAGGTTCCGCAGCGAAAATCTGAAATATATTATATAGTATGAGGATAAATAAAATATACAGTAGACAGTTTGTTAGAGTTATGACATGAGACTATACAAATGATAGCTCACTTGAGGAGAAGCAAGAGCAGCTTCGATGCTTCGTCTCTACTGCTCTCTTCAAATTTGAAAATAACCAAAATTTCTTAGAAAGACTTGCAATTTATTGCAAGATAATTGGCTTGTATAAGAACGAGAAGATTTTTTTTTCCATTCTAAGAAAAAAACACATGTTTAATTTGAGATTTATTTATTTTAATATTTATATATTAAATTTTTAGGTTTTAAAATAATAAAATATTACTACAAATATTTACAAATAAAAATGGAATTAATATGACATTTTTAATTTATAACAAAAATGATAATTTATTAAAGTTTGTAACTAATTCATACATTAGACCCTTGCTGCGAAAAAAATTATAATTGTAGGGGCCCTAAAATTTATGGGGGTTACAACAAAAAAATAAAAACGATTGGGGGTTATAGACTTATAGTCTTATTACAGACTGTGAAGAGACTAGGAGTTGACCTTTTGGAATCAGACTACCACGCTCTTCCCACATGTCCTTGTCTATCTCCTCCCGTTGATAGATACCACCTGCAACTCATTGATTGTTTTTCTTTCCCAGGTGCAAACAGGTCTATTCCGGAACCCATAAGAAAAGGTTCTTTTATATACCCATTTTTAAGTTTACAATGGATGAAGAAAATATATATAATAAATAAGAAAACAATAAAAAAACAGATTTATTTTAATTTAATAAAATAAATTTAATAAAACAGTAGTTATTTTTTAATTAAACCTTTATTTATTAGCCTCTTATTAAATATGACAGCACTAGTTAACTCTTTAAATATGAATAATTTTGTTAGAAAAACCTTTCTTATAGTAGTTTATATAATTAATAAATAATATATATATATATATATGGCTTTAAAAGACAACAAATATATATTTACCATATATTTAAATAACTAACTTTATTTAATATTTGCTTATTACATTATTTATTTATTTCCGAAAGTATATACTCCGTTAGGATGTGACAAAAACACGTCGCTATTTTAGCTCGCACATGACGTGAGGGGAGTGTAACTATGACGTTAAAAATGGAGTGTCAACTGTGAAGGGGATGTTACAATTACACAACATTTGATTACAACATGGTTGCCGTGGGGTCCGTGGCGTAGCTGCAAGCGTATGGCTTATGGGAACGTGAGTGCTTAATTCATGTTTATTTACGGATTACGAAATTTAATCGTAATTAACAAAGCTATCCGGTCAATCCACGTCTTGCTTATAGCTGGAATGGGTCAATGGAGAGTGTTTACTTTTACCAGCTCGGTACTTTTTAGCATAAAAATTAGGAAACAATTAAGCCACTGTATCATACAAGTAACTATCATATGTTCCACTCCACTCAACTTGGTCACAAGTTGGGAGAAAAAGGTAAGAAAAGTAGAAAATCATAGGAAAGTTCTAACACAAAAAACAAAAATGTTCTCAATCATCAAACCTAGAATGGAATGGACAGGTTTCACATAGAAAAATTCCATAATGACACCTCAGCATCAAATATCTCCACGTCGTTCCAGCCCCAACCATCTCTCGCACAAGGTGGAGGAGACATTAGAGGCTCATCCGCGATGCTCAGAAGCAATTCATGCAAGTCTTCAAGCTCTGACGCCGCCGGAACTTCATCCACATAAATCCTTTCTTGTTGCAGGGGCTTATCGTTTGCATCTTCAACAACCATGTTATCCCCGACGCTGCAAACTTCATAATCAACACTTGTGACCTTGGCACTCTGCTTCAGATGGTGCTGGCTGTCCTCAGCCGCAAATGACTCGGCAGCTTCCACCGCCGCTCTTCTTATATCCTCCGCACAGGTGGACGCCGGCAACGGCAACCGCCACAGGGAGTCAGCGAAGTTGAGGCACGCTGATTTTCCCCGAAGCGCGAGCGCGGCAACGTCGTGTGCACGCGCAGCCATTTCGGGTGTTGGGTATGTCCCGAGCCAAATTCTAGAGTTGTTGTTTGGGACACGCATCTCGCAAACCCACTTGTTCTTGTTCCTGCGTCGCACTCCTCGGTACACAGGATGTCTTGTCTCATTGAATACTCTTCGCCCCGCTCGCTTCTTTGGGCGCGCCGATGCTAATATGACTTCTTCGTCTGAGTGAGAAGTCCTAATAATTCTATGGCTGGAGGAACTTGTTTCAGAAGAAGAAGATGCCTCTCCAATTCCGTAGTTTAACTCATGAAATGATGGTTTGAAAGTGTTCATCCCGAAAGGTTGGCTTCGTTTGTTTGGTTTGTGAGTGTTGAGTGTGTGTGTGTGTGTTAGTTGAGGAAGTGAGTGTGCGGAGTATATATAGCTTTATAACTCCTATGTGGACACGGATATGAGTGGGACAGGGCAATTAGAAGCCACGGCTTTCACCACTCTAGAGCACAATTGTTAACTTTTCCTAATGCAATAGCTGATGCTGGCACTGGCAAAGGCTGATTTGGATACTAAGTTGCAACAAGCTGTTGTTTACACTTTGACCTCGTTGTCTCCCACTTCAGCTTCAGGCTCCAGCTAGCTATTAGTGGTAATGCCAAAAGGTTTAAAACGTGTTTTTATCCTTATTTTAGTTACTAGTAGTAATTATGCTTGCTATGAAGCTGGAATACATGGGTCGCTGTCACGGCTTGCCCGACAGCTTTACTCCCTGGGATTTTAATACTATTCCTTATTTAAATTATTTAACCCGCTTCATAGTTACAATAATTATATTTTTATATCTTAAATTTATTATCATTTTTTATTTGATATTATTTTATTTATGTTTTTCTAACATATGTTTTATACTTTTGAATGGGTTGTTGAAATATTATTGCTCTTATAATTATTAAGTCACTCCAAAGTTCTATGTGCACCGTTTTACTTTAAGATTTTTGAAAAAGTTAAAAGGATAAAAGATAAAATAAAAACAGCGTTGAAAACTGAAAAGTGTTTATTAACTATGTAAAAAACATTTATAGCACTCTTCTTATTTAAAATAAAGATCTTAGTATCATGTCTCTCTTTCAAGAGTATGATTTAATATACTATATTTAACACTTTTAATTATTTAAAAACAAATATTTAAATTATTATTATATCTTTAATATAATAAATATTTAAGTTTTATTAGTATAAGCCTTCAAACTTTTTACTAGCAGTTTAATTTTTGTTTGACAAAATCTATACTATCAAAGCTTATCCTAACGATTAACAATTTTATAATACATGTTTATTACAATTTTATATCAAATTAAAGCAATATTTTTTAATTCAATTAATCTTCCATTCATACGAAACTTCTTTTTATTTTCTCCATTACAGACGTATATGACTTATTACCTTGCATAAGACTTTTCACCTGTATTATTTAATTTCATGCATTTTAAGTAAAAATTTGTGTTCATATTTTATTTTCATACCATTATAATATGAGAAGTCATTGTTTTAATTATATTCTTTGATAAAAAATAAAGAATAATAATAAAAAAGGTATTTTATCTGAATATTTACTTTTTATGAAAAAACTTTAAAAAATAAAATATGAAAACAGTGCCAATCAAATATTGAGGCCTATAAAAATAAGGGTCGGTAGACTGAGCTGCACTAGCACACAAATTGCCTCATCACAAACAATGAATGAAGTGGTAGAACAAAGCATCGATTATAGTAGAGACTCGAATCAAAGACTTGTGTTTCATCCAAAGCTAATTTGCATGTCTTTAACATGTTAAAATGTATATTTAAATTAACAGTTTTTTCTGCATAATATAGCCGGGACTTTGTTTCTTTTTTATTCACTTTAGAAGTTATACTCAATGTTTCTACTTGGTTTCTATCATAAATCAAAGTTAAATGATGTATCAACGTCGAAGGGGAAAAAAAGAAGGTTTAATTCAATGATTGGTGATTCTTAATTAGTGTTCTCTTTTGTGTCTATGAAAAATTTACGAAGCGAACTGAATTATTGACCATTAAGTGAGCTTGTCTTTTCATCATTGAAACTCATGGCGTTGTCAGATTTTGCCCTTCTCTTTCTAAGTGGGATAGTTTGTTTTATAAAATAATTGGTGCTATGCTTAAAGGTCAAAGTTATCGGGGGAAAATTGCATGGATGTGATCATTTTTCTCAAAAGACTGACGTGAGCTTCTCAAAATTGATTTAAACACCATGAATGGGCTAGGGGTGGGAGAAACCATTCTAGATTTGTATTTTAAAATATACGAAACTTGAGTATGAGAGTACAAAGAATTAAGTAGCTATCTTCGCACATTTCACAAAAGACATTACAAGAAATGCGTCACTTAGCGGCGGTTAGCAATAATGACTAGTAAATCATTTTAAAAATAACATTTAATGTCAATTTTAGTAATCGCGGTATAAAATACGAGATTTAGAGGCATTTTTGTGTAACTGCCATAAAAAATGCAGGATTTAATGGAGGTTTTGTGTAACCGCTACAAAAAAAGGTAGGATTTAGCGGCAGTTTTGTATAACTGCTGCAAAAAAGATGAGATTTAGTGATAGTTTTGCATAACCGTCGCAAAAAAGGTAAGATTTAGTAGCGATTTTGCATAACTGCCACTAAAAAATATGGAATTTAGCGTTTCAAATAACATAATATAAGAAACATCACTCATCTCCTATTCTTCATCACCCATTCAAAGCTATCATTCATCTCCATCTTAGCCTCATGAATTCCACCATTCTCTCTGCCACTGCCATCATTACTGCCCTTGTCATCGCTGTCGCCACTGCCACTATCACCAAAATGTCTTATCCAACCGTGACAACCTCAATAATCTTTTACTATCCTTTTCACTTTCTCCAAAAATGACTTTTCTCCAACGACTGTACACTATAAATTATATAATATATATGTTGTGATGTTAAAAAATAAATAGAATGTGAACCCAAATAGCAAAAGAAAAAACTAAGTAGAAGATAAAAATAAAAAAAGTGTGGAAGTAAAAAATAGAGCACTCTCGCACCAAAAACAAAACATGATCATGCGCAGTCTAAAATTTAAATTTTAAATTTGAACGGCGATTCAAAACTACTACTAAATAACTGCTACAAATTTTAAAATTTAATAGCATTTCAAAATTGCTACAAATTTAGCTTTACATTACCAATTTTATCATAACCACTAAAAAAATATTTAGAGGTGATTAAAACTACCATTAATTATAAAATTTAACCGTTTCAATTTTTTTAGTGAGATTTTCTCCTCTCTTGAGGATATTCTTATTCTTATTGATATTTATGAAGATGTTGCTTGTGCCTCTGTTAGTCTTCAGGATGGCCTTGTAATTTTTTCAGTTGCGTCACCAATAAAACATGATTTATATATAATATACACTAAATGCTTAAAAATAATAATATAAACTAATTTAATTAATGGTGTCTACATATGGGTCAAGTCCAGCGAGCTCCCTCAAATAACAAAATGAGTGGGTCGATTTAACAAAATTGGGGATAAAAATCTGGATTTGACCCAACTTGGCGGAGGCTACTCGCCAACCCTAAAATTGTCATAAAAACATTTTAATACGAATTCATTTTCTATTTTTTCAATTAAGTTGATTGAATAAAATAATTAAAATTAACATTTTAAACATTTACAAAAGTAAAAGAAATGCAAATTAATGAATCAATTCGAATCAATAGAACGCGATTTTTCTTTTTTTGGATCGACATAGCGTAAATAGACCAATAATTGGACAGTTTGAATTATTTTTTATCCATTTTGGGTTAGCTTGCATTTTGTCCAACTCCGAAGAGACAAGTTCAACAGGAATGGCCCAGCTCCATTCACATATTTTTAATATCCTTTTTTAATTTTAGGACTTTTTTTTTGTGTGGATTTTGTAGGACTTTCATCTGCAAGATTTAAAAGTCAATTATCTGTAACTTCTAAGTGTAATAATAATAAATAAATAAATAAATAAATAAATAAATAAAAATAAAAAATACCATTTAAATTGCATCAAAATCTGATAAAGATATAAGCTAGATAAAATTGTCGTATGTATTTTTATATTTTTAATAGAGTTAAATTATTTATTGCTTAAAATAATTTTTTTATTTTTTAATTTGAAGGCTCTTTTGCATATAAAAGAGGATGAATTACACAAACATTTCGTATTATGAAAAAAATAACGACATTAACTTTTTTTCCCTTTTGATTGAGCATATACAGGTAAGAAATGTTTGTAAATATTATTTCAAACAAATAAAATACATCCATTCAACATGTCAAAGTAAATATAGAAGCCTAAATCAATAAAAAAAAAATTCCAAATGTTATTATAAACAAAGAAAATAAAACTTATTTACATTGCTGTTAAACCTCAAAACGTAAATATTTTTATTTTATTTCATAAGATTACAAATATGTTTGAATTTATTGGGCTAAAATAAATTATTTATTTAATTTTTATACCAAGAAGCTTAAAGAAGAAAGTGACAAAAAAATTATAAATACAAGAGTTTATTTTATATTTTTTTAAACACTATGTAACCAAAGACTTGGATAGTGGTGTATTATATGAGAATTTTTATTTTGTTTAATAAATTTGTAGCTAAAAATATTTGTAATCATCTGATAAAAAATATAAAATAATATAATTATGTTAATAATTTGTAATTGTAAATAACATGTATCAAATCAAGTTAAATATGTGTTTTTGTTTCATATAGATACTTTCAATGATTATAACTCTTCCCTCTCCGGTATCAAAGTTAATGGTTATATTAGAGAATACTTTTTTACTAATAATAAGGAGAAATAAAAGTTAAATAGTTAAAAAATTCATTTTTTTAAAATTAAAAAAATTTAAAAAGTAAAAAAAATTATAAATATAAATATTTACTTTATACTTTTTTTTTACTATAACAATACATAATTCTTTAAGTATACGAAAGACTTGAATATTTGTGTGTCAAATGAGAATTTATAATGTCACTGAAATCATTCTAAGTGACAAAATTTGTAATTTTATGTAGCAAAAAATTATAAAATAATAAAATAATATTGTGAGCTTAGAGATGTCAGCAAGATGTGCAAAATTACATTAAATATGTGTGTTATTTTTTTTATGTAGTGAAGATAAACAATGCAAATGACTTATTTATTTTTCAATAAAATTAACTTATTTTGATACAACCTTGAATATAAATATATATATTTTTAATAATTTGTATAGTTAAAATAAATTGTATGGCAATTTTAAATATATAAATATCAGTATCATGTTTTGAATGCACGAATGACAAGTACTTTAAAGATTTTTTTTAGTCCGCAACATAATCTTTAACTTCATAAACTGCCGAAAGCAAGATGACAAAGGCGGCACAGTGCGGGGCCGCTGAGATTCGGTAGTAGAGTGATTGCGTAAACCTAATCTTAGTCGGCTAAGTGACATTAATTGATCTTTTTCAACATAAACTTTTTAAAATAATTGATTATGTTGGCCTATAAAGGCCACGTTTTGCACCTTGTAAATAAAATGGCAGTTAGCTTAGCCGAAATTTATTTAGATGACAAAGAAACTCTACCAAAAACACACTGTAGAAAAGAGAAAAAGTGAGTGAGAGTTCATCACAGAAAGTGATGCTAGATGTTGGTGGAAATGAGAAGGATGAAAGTGAGGTGAAGGTAGATGTCGGCCATTTGTGAGGATTGCTTTTGCATATAATTATGATTTGCTTTACACACAAAAACCCACCAACTCGAATATGGCTCCTTTCTTGTGATTTAGGGATTACTTAACAACACACAGCATTTCCACCCTAAATCTCACGTACGTGCCCCTTTTTGACTTCATGTCGTGGCCGACCTACACACCGCATGATACTTCGTTCTTTGGCCCTTCAATGTTTGATTACTGTTGACTCATTAGCAATGCTCAAGATACACTTAACCCAGTCACCATGATGTCAAAGGAACACTCAAAGATATGTAAATGTCAGGTGCTTTTATTTATCACCTTCATAGCAAACATGTAGCTATGATGTCTCCTAAAAAACAATAGTTTTTATATGAATAAAATATTGAATATATGCTTTGGGGTTTTTGAATATTACGTACAATTATGTTTTATTTAATGCTTAATTATTTAAAAATATTCATAAAAATGTTTTATAAGAAAATGAAATGCATGCAGAAACTCTCAGTTGAAGTGGGTTGATGCAATAGACTGCAGAGTCCGCGTCCTCACACTACAAAAATGGAGAGATTTGTTTGTGACACTTCTCTGACAATATTCAAATCATTAATGAATATCTTAGCTTGAAATTGCATATATTAAATATTTTAGTTATTCTAGATATTTTAAAAATTTTATTAAATTTTGAATTTGTATAATGTTATTCATTTTTTTAATATTATTTTACGTAAGATAAAATAAATAATATTTTACAAAATTAAAGATTAACTTAAAATTTTAATGTACTTTTTTGTCTCTTTAATTTAGATTATGTATGCTTTTTTACTTTTACTTTTTTTTTCATATAATTAAAACCTCTAGCTTTAAGATTTAACAAATTTGATTACTGGTTAATTTTTTTCTTATTTTCTTAAAATTTTTACAAATTAATTTGATTAAATTATTTCTCATGCAAAATTAATTAACCAAAATATTAAATATAACCTAAAATAAAAAAAATATCATCAAATCCTAATATCACATTTTATAAAATCTTTTGAATTTTATCAAGTTTTCAAATTTTTTTTTACTTTTGAAAATTTAAAATTATTTCATATTTTAATTTTATTACAACCTCAAAAATTTTAAATAAAAAATAAAAAATTTAATATTTTCAAGTAGAAAAATTTTTATGGGGGATAAATTTGGTTAATTTTTAAAATCAAAGATTTGACCAATTTTAAAAATTTAAAAGACTAAAATTGCAGGTAATTTAAGTTAAAGTAGAAAAATACAATTTAATTTTAAATTTTAATAGAAAAATATTAAATATTATAATACAAACTAATAATTAAAAAACATCTAATATAGCCAATAACAAAGTGGGATTTTTTTTTATAAAGCTAAACTTTAAGTTACTAAATTAAACTTAAAACTGGATTATTTAATAAAATAAATATTTTTTTTTCAAACTAAATGTAAAGTTTGCTAACTTGACAATTACAGAAACATTACGTTTAATATTAACATTTATTTTAATAGATAAGGTTTGAGTTCGTCTACCAGGGCTAAAACCTCAAAGTTTTTGTTAAAGATTATTAAAAATTAAAAACATATCAGAAAGAAACATTAAATTATAGGTGAAAAAAAATAAAATTTCTATAATATACCTTTATAATTTTAACATTAATTAAGAGTACAGTGCTAGCATTCAATCAAAATTTCATCGAGACACTTTTGCAAATAATAAATTTTCTTCATGTTTATAGTTGACCTTTGTGGAAAAAAAGAAAAAAAGCATTGGGATAAATAGATTTCTGTAGTAGCTAAGCTTGCCAGAACTATTTATATCAAAATTTAATGTAAGATAAAATATCAATTCATCCGTTGTCGTCCAGCGGTTAGGATATCTGGCTTTCACCCAGGAGACCCGGGTTCGATTCCCGGCAACGGAAAAGGAAGTTTTTACGGTGGAAGTCCTTGCTTATTTCTTGGGAGGTAACGTTGGATCAAGTTTCAATCAAACAACATTTTGATATTAGATTTTGTTAACCTATGTGACATTATAAAAAATAAAAATATATATGATAGATTTTTTATCAAAAACTATAGAATTTAAAATTATTTAATGCATTAACAGTAGGGCATTGCTCCGGTACCTTTACGTTTTGGGTGATTTTAAAATTCTCTGGGACGTGGACAGAATTGATTGGTGACGACGGGTGTTTAGTGAAAAAAATTATTTTTTAGTTTTTCAAATTATATTTTAATAATTTTTTTATTAATTTTTACAAATTAATCCTGAAATATCACACTTAGCACGAATGAGATAACTTACAATCGTCCAAATCTCAGTGAACATTTTGTTTTGTCTTGTGTGTCTATATCCGAATATTGATGAAAAAAAGATGAAGTTGAGAATATTCGACATCAAGATTCGATAGATAGATTAGATATTTTGTCTTCTCTCTATGGAAGAGGGTGCTGTGTTGAACATTACGATTCATATTGGTTTGAAAGATGCTGATTCGGTGGGGGGTTTAAAACGATGTCGTCATAGCTAACGAAGATGGGAACAAAGACGAGTGAAATGATGGTTGAGGAGTTTGAGAAACATGGAAAGGCAGAGGTGGTTCTCGGAATGAGAATGAGAGTACTCTTGCAAATTTAATATATTCATAAGAGGGGTTAAATTGAAAATATAACGAAACTGTAAGCTACATATTTAAATGAGGTCTCATAATTTAATTGGTTGTTTATTGAAGGGTTCTAAAACCTCCTACATTATAAAGGTACTAGAGAAATTTCCTTAATAGTATTAAATGTTATAATTTTTTTATAAAAAATTATCTTGGATAATTTTTAATTCCATACAATTTCGCACATGTTGAAAATTTCTTTATAATTTTCCAAATATATTATGTTCCTTTTCATACTATAAACACAACGCATATTCCGTTTAATGATAACATTAAAGTTTGGAAATCTGTTCATGCAAGGTTGGGTATTCATTTTATTTTGTTGTAAAATATCATGGATCACTATCATTAAACATAGAGGTTAGGTTGTGGGTTGGAAAGCTAAGCAAGCAGTACAAATGTTGTGATATGTCGTACGTATCATGGTTTCTATGCCAGGAATGATATCGTATTTAGGAATATCTCTTTTGACTTGGTGCAGATAGTGGACCTGATAAAAGTGAGATTTTGGTCATGGTTCTTGGCAAAAGCTAAATGCTGTTATATATATAATTACAGAATCGATTATTTTATAAATTACATAAAGCTGTACTATAATTTCTAACTGAACCGGTAAAAAAGAATTATATTTTTCACCTTATACTTTTTTATTACTAGTTATTTTGAAATTAAAACAAATACAAAATACCTTCAGGAGTATATATTATCTAATTTAAAAGAAAAAAATTAATATAATCTCCTCTTAATTATCCTTATAATCAAAGATATTGTGATGGTAATGGACCCAGCCGGTCATAAAAGTTGCACAGAATAGTCATTCCTAGCTGCATTGCGCTTGTGACAAGTACGTTCCTCTTTCTTATACTTTAGTGGCCTCCTCTTGTTTTCCAGTTTTGGCAATCAACAAGTTCCGAAAGCATCTTGGAATGCTAAAAGAATGCTTTTACAAATGAAAATAAATAAATAAAAATTTCTTATACCAATATTCCAGCATTAAGAACTCTCACAAGTATCGAAACATATGATACATAAACCTGTTTGTGTTTTAAAACCATAAAAAACAGGCAAGTTATAATGATACTACATTAAAATAACACACTTATTAGTTTTCAATTTACATAAAGTAAATAGAAGATTATTTAAGTCCATAAGGCTATTATCTGAGCCATATATCAAAAATAACTCCACAAAGTTTCTCCGGTTTGCTTCTCAGGCAAGTTATCCGACGGAGGGGAGCTCATTCTGGGCGGTGACATAAGCATTCCCCCGGCCATGTCTACAAGCAAACTTGGCATAGCAAATATGGCTTCCTCATCTACAAAATCAGTTTGAAACCACAAAGTTGAAGCACTATTGTCAACAATAGTGTTAGCGTCCTCACGGTGAGGCTGAGGTACAAGATGAGTAGCTTCGGTCCTCATCATTGCGGCTGCAGCAGAAGCAGCGGTGCGGATGTCCGCAGGGGATTTGGTGAGAGGCATTTGGTACTTAGCAACGGAATGAGGAAGGTTGAGAACAGCACTTTCACCTTTCAAAGCCAATGCTGCCACGTCATAGGCTGCTGCAGCCATTTCTGGTGTTGGGAATGTGCCAAGCCAAATGCGTGACGCCTTACGTGGCTCTCGGATTTCAGACACCCATTTCCCTCCCCGGCACCGGATTCCATGATACAGTGGGTGCCTCTTCGAAGATGATGATGATGATGGGGCCATACTATGAATCTTATGTAATTGCTAAGGAATTGAACTGTTTAGTACAAAGGTGAAAGCACGTGGCAAATGACACTTGTTGCTGCAACTTAGAGGAAATTTGTGGGAGTGTATGCATATATGATAGGGGTCACTTACATTTATAGTACACGGGATGATGAATGAGCCTGTGATGAATAGCGGATTAAAGGTGAACAAGCTTGTTTCTTTATTTGTTGAGAATCAATGCAATATATAACACTATTCGCTTTGATTTAATATATGCATTATGTGTGGTATGTGAAAAAGTGAGAGCGTGGGCATTTCGTGGGGCAACTCAGTAGTGAGTAGTGTTTAGTGCTTAAACCTAATGCTGGCGCCAATTTTAGCTGGGATCCGAGGAGTAATGCTTTATAATTTGGGGACTAGCTCACTTAACCAATGCGACGAGATATCTTAATTTTGGAAATTGATTTTAGTGCAAAATTGATTTTGAAGTGAAATAATAGTTTATGTTTGAAAATCATTATCATAAAAGTAAATTTATAATAAAATATAAAACTTAGAGTGAGTTCAGATAAATAATTTAATTAAATATTTATTGAAATTTTTTCTCACATGATAACTTATGGTTTAAATTTGACTATAAAAATTATTATAATAAACTTTTAAAAATATATATTTTGATACACTTTATTTTTTTTAAAAAAACTTGTTAAAACAAATTAAAAATACTTATAATAGTTATAAATTATTTTCATAAACCTAAATAACCTTTATTTATGTGTTTTCAAACACTTCTTTAGTATACAATTAATTCAAAAGCTATTTGCTTGCCTTTAGTCAAATATACTTTTAAGAAGAAAAACAATTTTGATTTTAAAGAACCAAACAACATTTTTTCCCTTAAAATCATGTTATAACTCCTCTCAAACTTGATTATTTGAGGTCTCCTATATCATTTTTCCAAACATGTAAACAGTTTCTATGGTTTAAACAGCGGAATTCTATTAGTTGTAGATGAGGCGCACACGAAACTGGGTATAGCCACAGCCCCACAGCAAAACTAAATGTCTATGACTATATCCACTATTTCTTGAGATCCCAATCTTTAGCATATTTCCCTTTTTCTTCTCCTAAAAGTAATTTCATGTCCCAAAACACGTGTCTATATGTAAAGTCTAGTTTAATTATAAAAGTTTTTTTTTTTTGTTTAATGAATAAGCAAGACAATCCGTAGTCATATTCTGTCTGTTGACTGCTTTTGCAGAGTAAAGTTAAACTTAGTCATGTTGCGTTGATGCAGATTGAGCACATAAATAAAACGGAATCCTAATAAGAATAACTTTTTGTGATTTATCGTAAGCATTCCCGTCATTATTAATATGCGTAAGGATATTATGATAAAAAAATAATTATCAACCTTTATATTATAATTATAAACAAGATAGAGTATTTTATTTGAGAAGTAAAATAATTAGTGAGACTATTCTCGTTTGTAGAGTTTGTTGTGTGTATTTTTTTCAAATTACAATTATCTAAAAATGACGAATAAATTACACTATTTTTATTATAGACTTAATTTAAAATAATTTTATTGTATATATATATATAATATTTGTAAAAATATACTTTTTTATGAGTAAATTATAAATATATTTATTTTAAAATAAAATAACTATATATGGCATGAATTACTAACTAATTGTTAAGAAATTAAATAAATAGTTATTTAAATACTTAAAAAATTAAGCAATAAATCATGTTTGTTTAAAAGTTGTGTTTTAAGTATACTTAGCCCAGCCCATAGAGGAGTCACCGCACACAATTTCACGCCAGAAGTTAGGAGACGTGGATATTGATATTCCAACAGGAGTTGAGCTTTGTTATATTTTTATATTTATCTTTTTAATAATAAAAAGTTATTGTTAGATAAATACATATATAAGTAATCTTAAAAACATAATGGATAAAAGGATTGAAAAGTATTCTTAGGTTGCGGGTCAATCGATTTCCTCATTTATATTATTATTAGTTGCAATATTACCTGAAAGAGAAAATTACTGCTTCACGATGTTGCCTTTCGTATTTTATTGCCCCAGAATCCCAATGAGGAGACGGTTCACGTTTGCTTTCCTAATGCTACATCAAAGGGAGTTAATTTTAAGTAAAAGGAAAAAGATGTTTGAATTCTTCGAAAATGTTGTGTGATCCGTCAGACCTTTAAGAATTAATATTATTTCCATAATATTTTTATTTTATTTTATTATTCCTCATTATCATATTAATTATTTTATTTTATGTTATCTCTTTCAATATATAAGAAATATACAACTAATCAACAAATACAAATTTTCAACTTTTTAGATCCCATGTACAACTTTGGCAAACATTTGTCCTTGGTACTGTTACAGCGTACAAGCCACCAGAACTCTTGTCTGCTTCTATTCTCACACGTTTATTTGACTGTTCTAACATTAATTTTTTGGTATTCTGGATCGGGTTGTCGATCGTTTCATTTACAGGTGAATGTGATACTTTAATACATTCTCTAACCCAACTGACGAGTCACGTCTTTTATATATATAATTTTAAACGTAACATAATGTACGATATCTATTTGTTAGTTTAATTGGTAACTTAATCATTAAAAACTTTCAAAAATGAAATGAATTTCTAATAGTTTTATTGAGTCACTTTAATTAATTTGAAAATGGCATTAGGTTTAAATGTGTATTGAGTCATATAAAAAGATTCACGATTCAATACTTCAATTTATGAACACTCACCAGATGTGGCATCACGTGCTTAGAGAATTGAGAAGAAAATTAAAGTAGCGATTGATTTGCTGTGTATTTCTTAGGACCTAAATATTAAGAGTATATTTGATTTTTTTTAAATAGTTTTTAATTTTTAAAAATAAATGTAATATAAAATGTAAGATTATTTAAAAATAATTTATATTACATTTTATTTTTTAAAATTAAAAACTATTTTATTTTTAAAAATCAAACATATTCTGAGTATTTTGATTTTATTTGTTAAATTACTGAAAATACTCATAGTATAATGAACTTAAATTTTTTAATAAGAATATTTTTCTTGCTCTGAGTCTTTATCTTCTTTTATATATATATATATATATATATATATATTATATGATATTAAAAAATAATATATACTAAAATATTTTATTTTAAAAAATACAATTTTTACTGTAAGTCAAATATGAAAATATAAAAAATTATAAAATATTAAAAATAATTAATGACATTTTTTTAAAATATTAAAAATTTTAAAAATCAAATAATAAAAAAATTAGGATATAAAAAATGTTATTGATATTTTTTAAAAAATTTATATTTTCATAATTTTTTCAAAACTAATTTAGTAATTTTTTTTATTTATAAAAAATAGACCAAACTCTTTCGTCTTGTCTTAATGTTAGGGTAGATACTTTCGATTTGAGAGAAAAAAATGATCGGTTGACAAATTAAAGAAAAGAGGGAGAGAAAGGAGACAATTCCCTTTATACTCTCACTATTCATAATATTATTTATCTTGAGTAACTTTTATTCTATATATTGTAATCATATGACTAATAATATTAAAATCCTTCTCCTTTCCAATGTAAATTTCTTCCCTACCACAATTACGCATAGTAAACAGTAAATAAAATGAACATCACTCATGCTAGTCATATATCTAACTCTAATCTTAATCTTCCTAATACTTACTATATTTCTAACTCAACACAATTTTATATTTGTTTGTCAATTGTGTGAGAAATGATTAAATATTCTCTTTTCTCCTTTTAGTGTCCAAAGTACATGATTCATAAATGAAACATATTATTGGGATAGGTTGTAGAGTATATTAACTATTTGAGTTTCAATCACTCCATCTTCCTCAAACATGTATATTTGCTACAACTGTTATATCATCTATTCAACAATGGCATCTTTACCTTAAACATGTCACAACTACCAAATTTAACCTTTAATTTCTCGTAGTTTGTTAGAATATCTAAAATTTGAGTATTTTGAATATTTAAATTGTGAATTTGCTAAACAACTTACACTATATTTTGCAAATAGTAATTCTACTTCACACATTCCATTTGATTTAATTATTTTGACATTTGCAACCCTTCCCCTGTTCTTCAATTACGATTTTCATTATTTTATCTTATTTGTTGATGAATATTCTTGATATATATGGATATATTTTTTTAAAACATCGATCCAAATTATTTCAAACTTATATCAAATTTGTAAATGTGGTTAAAATTCAGTTCTCTTGTGCTATTAAAATTCTTCTTACAAACAATGGAATGGAATATCAAGATTTCTCTTTACTTCAATTTCTGAATCAACAAGATGCCATTGTTTAACACTATTGTCCTTGCACCTATCAGTAGAATGGTTGAGTTTAATGAAAGCATTGTCATATTGTTACTTCTATGCATGTTTTCTCCTTTCTTCCTTATGTCAAAAAAATAAAATAAAATTGGGGGGAAGTTGCTCTTAATCTTGGCTATACTATCAATTGTTTTCTTACCTTAGTCCTTAAAAAATTTGTCTCATTTCAAAAAATTGTTTGATATGTCTCTTAACTATTTAATCCTTGAACCATCTGGATGCACTTGTTTTATTCTTTTACAGTCTCATGAACATACATTATAATATTATGTTTGTTTGTGTTGTTTTCTTGGTTATGTCATTGAACACAAATGATATTGTTGTTAGGTTCCTATTTAACATCTAGTTATTCTAAAAACTATCCTTATGAGGCTGCAATAACTAAAAGAATTCAAATTATTGTTAATTTTGCCACAGGAGAAAAAGTGCCAAAATAGTCCGCACCCTTTAATTGAGTGTAGCCTGTAACATCCCCAATTTTAATTTGTGTACTTAGGGTTATCCAAGTTTAGTTAGCCTTTATTAGTACTACTATTATTATATTGATTGATTTTCGTGCATTTTTGATAATTTTGTGGATTTGTTGATTTTATGAATGTTCTCTTTTAATGATGATTATTTAAATTGCTAGGGCCCCTGCTGCGCGATAGAGCTTGATATTTTTGTGGTAATGTTTGATGTGAATTTTTATGTGCATGTGTTATAATAATTACATGATGAGATTATCTTAAATAACCCTAGGTTAGTGAGATTAACCCTGGGGCGAATTTGTCTTTTGGTCAAATGGGAGGACCCCATTTTACTTCATGACCATTGTGATTAATGCTTACATTATCTTTTTTAATTCATGTTATTGAATTTTGCTAGATATTTTCTTAAAACTAGTAGAACTACACGTGTAACTTTTCCTCTCTAACCTTAATTGGTCACTTAAGGGAAGCCACCCTTTTGCCCTAGATTCCACGTGCAAAACAAAATTTCAAGAGACACTTTTCAATCTTTCCTCATTTAAGTCTTGTAGCCGAAAAGCCATTCAATGTCTAGGGGGAGGGAGAAATTTGAATAGACACCTTGTGATTTTGTTCAAATATATCCCTCTTAATTAGGGCAACCAATTTTCGTTAATGCATATGAGATAAGAGAGAGAGAAACCGGCCATAATGACCTAGATTTTGAGCCTAAATAATTGCATTTAACACAATTATCAATTCCCTAGTTACCCTAATTAAATGTGGCCGTTTGTCCTTTCCTAAACCATTACTTTGCAATCAATTGAGATTCCCTCATAAAAGGTGCAGCCGAGAATTAAAGGAAGATTAGAGCCCAAAATCCCTTCCTAAAACGTAAACTCTTCCTATTCTCGTGCCCTTTATTATAGCTGACCAATTTAATTCCATTTGTCATTTATTCCAATGAACATTTATTGAGAAATTCCCCATACTTAATCACTCTCACGAGAAGCCTTTTCACCTAGCCGTTACATGCACCATAATTACCTTAATTACCTCCCACTTACCTTCAACCTCTCGAGAAAATGAATGGACACACGCTCAAATTCCCTTTCCATATAATTGGAACCGCCCGCCGCATTTAGGGAGTAATGATGCTAGCTTGAAAAGTCGCCATCTAAGGCATTTAAAACCCAAAACCGTGCATGACATTAATTGCATATTCACCCCCTTAATTGCAAACTTTTTAGATTCTCATGCGTGTTTAATTGGTGCTGACCAGATTGTCATAAATTAGCATGATTCTTGCAGACAATCATTAAGGACGCCCTTTCCATTCCCACTTACTCGAATAACCTTCCATTTTCCCATTTAACTGTCACTGGATTTATTTAATTACCCACTTGCTTTTATTTAGGCGTGTCAATCAGCCTGGAACGTTTCAAATGGAGCCATTACTTCCCCAAATCCGTGCCCGATATTGATCATATTTACCTTCCTTAATTACCTTGCATTAATTGCATGAACCAACTGACCATTCACATTATTTTTCCCTAATAACTGCGTCCTAATTGCATTTAAACCGAGGGGACCTCACCTGCCTCATTTAAATCGTCATTCAAGTTACCTAAATTACCTCTTAACCGCATTTAACCTCACGAGGAAAACGAAAGGATAGCCTACTCCACTTCCTTCTGGAGTTGACCCAGCCGCAAGCCTGCACTTATTAAGCAACCAGAAACTTAGCAACATTTATTCTGGAAATTACGCCCCATTAATTGCATGCAATTATTTCTTGTTTTATGGCACTGGCCACACGCCTAAGGCAAAGAGAAAAGCGCCACCTTGTCTCGAGGAGTCCAAGAGGCATCACCTTTTCACTAGCCACTCAAAAGGACATCACCCTTTCAAATTCACGGGACACGAAGGGTTTGAACCCATTTCCCTCCACAAGCAAACCCTAGCTGCCAACGTGGATTAATTACCTACTCTTGCCTAGGTCAAACCCCCCATTCGGTTACTCCGTCATGATGAATGGCGTGTGGAGACGTGTGGATCACCAACGACTTGCTTCTTTTGCACTCTGTGCATTGAATGCTCTCGACAAGGCGCATCACCTACACTTGGACACCATGAGACATGACTATTCAAGTGAGAAGGCGAAAGGGTATGTCACTTCGCCTAACCTAGCCCTAAAACCCTTCTTGTGCAACTCCTCATCGTCAGCCCCTGGAAGACGAATGGGCAAAAGCTTTAAGCCACACTATATAAGGACACCTTTTAATCCTCACGTGCCCTTTTCCCCTTATTTTTCAAAAACACTCTCAACCTCACTACTTCTTTTCTCTCTCGACACCTTCTCACCCTCACACAAAACCCTGTACGCCCTTTTCTCTCGTGGATAACACACTTCATCACCAACCACTCAAGGAGGCGACAAAACGCTAAGGACTCAAGTCGTGACCAAGATTCTGCTAGTACCAAGACCAAGCTGTCCACTCTATCTCTCTTTCTCAAACCAAACAAGGTTAGGGGAGCTCTTGTACCTTGTTTGCGCTTGAATGCATGTGGTTGTTTGTTAACTTGTAAACTCTGCATGCACTCTCTTCTTCTTGTTTTCGTCTCTGATCTTCATCAATGAAAATTACATGCAAACCATTTTCCTTCATCTTGTGGTGATTCTATTTGGATGGTGTTTCAAAAATCCATGTTTTGTAACTTGCGTAAACTTGATTGGGGTTGAAATAGTTTTGCATGTTGATAATATTGAAATCCTTGTATGAGTCTCGGTTGTATACCTTTATTATTGAATAAAGTTGGTAACTTTGATGAATATCCAATTGCATGTTAAAGTAACTCTATGAATCCTTGTGTTCTTTTTAGTTTTCATCGACTACCCTCCTTCCTTTTTGTTTTAGCTGAGAAATTACTCACCTTTTTCTCTCAGTTTGATTCTGTATGACCAAGGAACCTTTTTTCTTAACCATGAAAGAATTCTCCTACCACATAATCACTATTTTACGAAAAATTTGTGGTAGAAATGAGTTGCATGTGTGATTAAACTTGCGGTTATTTCCATGATTCTTTGATGATTATTTTGTTTGCGAAGGTACATTTTGACTATGATATTTTGACAAAATTTTTATAACTATCTCTATCTTCTCTCCTTTTCTTTTATTCTCGGACTGTGGACGAATAGTTCTTCTTTTCTTTGAATGTACTAGCTCTTATGAGCATGGATTTGGTTATGTGGTTTGTGACCTTTGGGAATTTAATGTGCATTCAAAAATGGTAAAGTGAGAATGCGGTTACGAAACTCTTTATGTGCACGATATAGAGGATGAAGAGTCAAGGTCACAGTTTAGCACAGCTGAGGAATGTGAGTGTTCAGGTTTGAGGGACGGACCTTGGGGGTAGTGGAGGGGGTTTGCCCCAATGGTGCGGAATAGCTCACCGCGGCCGGGACACGTCGCCATCAAAACCTCCACTAATCTTGACGCGAGCAAGCATTACCGAGGATCGTGGAAGGACTCGTTTCTGAGGGACTGAAATGGTTAAATGGGAGAATATTCTTGATGGATTACATACAAGTGTGCTTGTAGGGAACGAGGGCCTCCGATCACGTTGACTGGAGGAATGGTGAGAACAAACTGAGGAAGTAGTGACGTTTTAAGCGTTAGTATTTAAATTATGTTGTGACGAACCTCTGTGACTCTGCCTGCATTTTGTAACTATTTATTGGGCATTTTGTTATGACTGTGTGTTTATTAAGATGTGACTTCACAAGTGATTGATATTACTCTGATTTTCTTACTTACTCAATATCTGATGACTGATTGTATTGGAGCTCAACCTTTCTGTTCGTGTTCTATCATTGTGTGTTTGTATGTATTGCATGACTGTGTGACAGATGGACCCTTAGCGAGCAATGATTTGGGGAGAAGATTTCGGGGAGAAAGCAGTCTGGATTGATAGCGACCCAGACGACCTGCCACCCACTTCTCGCCCTCAGCCAGTGGATGACTCTTCCGACTTCGATGGATTAAAATATGATCCCAGTGAGGATTCACTTCCATTAGAGTTTTATTTATAGGCTGTTACTTTATTTTGTCATGGATGAATACTGCTCATAGGCTTTGAGTTATTTTATTGCTTTTGGAAATACTAGACTTTGGGGTTTTACTTTACCGTGGACTTTACTTTGGACATTTGGCTGGATAATTTACAAGACGTTTTCTTTTACTCATGTTCTCTTTGCTACATTTCTAGAATCTTACTCCAAATGATTTACAATTTTATGTACTTACTCTGATGTTGTTATAAAACCATTCTAGAAACTATTAATGTAGTTCACATAAAAGCATTGTATGTTTTATGAAATGAAACTAATTGGAAATATGATTCGTGATAGGTGAACTCGAATCAAGTATGTTGTTGTGTTTTTTTTTTTTTTAATTTCTGAAAATTGATTGGAGTTGTTATGATTAAATGAACAAATTCTTGAGGCAAAAATGTGAATATCAAAAGCTAATATTGTTAGCGTTAAATTGTACAATGAGGAATTGTATTGTGATTGTCTATGGAGGCATTTTGAACTAGCCATTGAAGATGTAAAGTCGGAATTGTGCCCTGTGATATGAATTGTATGTAGCTGATAGAATCTCTCTATAATGCGATTTTGACAATGAATTCTTTTACTCGTTAGTTCAGGTGTATCATCTTATAGATACTAAAACCATAAGATAAATAGATGGGGTTTTGGTAGAGATTTAGGTGTTACAATTTTAGTGGTATCAGAGCAGTTCAATCCATTCGGCCCTGGGTATGGTCCTAACTGCCCAAACTTGTGTAAATTGATTGACGAGTTGTTTTTACCTTAGGTTTTATTTTTCTGATTGATGGTGATTCTTAGCCTTAGAGTATTCACGCTATTTTACTTGCCTGCGACTTGTTTTTTTATAGTTCTATGGCTTGGAGACAGAGGAATGTTAGTATTGATACCTTACTCGAGAGAGTAGTGGGTATCCTGGAGAGGCAACACGAGCCAGCTCCGAACCGAGGACTATCCGAGTTTCGTAAGAACAAGCCCTCTCACTTTCGTGGAGGATTTGACCCTGATGGAGCCCAACTCTGGCTGGAAGAGTTGGAGAAGATATTTGAGGCCATGGCATGTCCGAACGACGAGAAGGTCGTTTATGCTACTTTCATGCTCGTAGGTGAAGCAGAGCATTGGTGGAGGATCGCTCGCCAACAGTTGGTGACGGATGGGACCGCTATTGATTGGCTAACTTTTCGGCATAGATTCCTTGAGAAGTACTTTCCTGAGGATCTTAGAAGGAGAAAGGAGCTAGAATTTCTGAACTTGAAGCAAGGAAGTACAAGCGTAGGGGAGTACGCGGCCAAATTTGATGAACTGTCGAGGTATTGCTCCTATTTTTCTCATGTCGATGACCGAGCTAGATGCTCCAAGTTCGAGAGTGGACTCTGGCCCGATACCAAGCAAGTAATTGGCTACCAACAGATTGCGCATTTCCCTGAATTGGTAGACAAGTGTCGAGTTTATGAGGATGACACAAAGGCAAGGCAAGCTGCATGGAAGAACACTAGACCTTGATGGAATGTGGGGAGTTTTGACTTCAAGAGGAGAGAGATACGAGATGGGAAGAAGCCGTACCACTGCCCCAACTACCAGCAAAAGGAAAATTCCTTTGACACTAGACGATCGGACCATAGAGGACAGAGGCGACCTGAGTTGCGCTGTTTCAGCTGTGGAGGACCTCATCTCCAAAGAGATTGCCACCAAAATCCTGTCACTTGCTTTAGATGTGGTCAGCAAGGCCACACTATAGCTCTTCTTGCCATTTGGCGAGGAATAATGCGGGAGGAAATGACCAGGGGAGGAACTGGAATGGGAATCGTAACAACAATGGAGGTCAGAATTAGACGGGAAATCGTCGTCAGCCAAATCCTATTAACTCTAGGAATCCTTCTGGAAGACCTGACATGAGGGGACGTGTGTACACGATGAGTGGTACTGAGGACACTCACTCTGATGACTTGATTCAAGGTGCGTGTGTTATAAATGGTGTTTCTTTAAGAGTATTGTATGATTCTGGAGCAATGCATTCTTTTATTTCCAATGATTGTGTGAGGCAGTTGGAGTTGCCTATCTCTCATATGACCGGAAACCTTATTGTCTCTACCCCTGCCGGTCCGTCTATTGCCACCTCCCTTGTTTGCCGTGATTGTCATATTTATTTGGAAGGTCAAGAATTCATTGTTAACTTGATCTGTTTACCCCTCTCTGATTTGGATGTCATCCTAGGTATGGATTGGCTTTCTGCCAACCATGTCATGTTAGATTGTCCAAATAAGAAGTTAGCTTTTAGTTTGAACAATGTTGAAAGGACCAAGGAGGAAACTCAAGAAAGCCAAGATGCTCATTGTACCCGTGATCCAAGGGATGCGAAAACACAAATTTTCACGGTTTTTGCTATTGGCGATCCTAAGGACGACCCTGTGCTTGATGAGATATCCATTGTTTGTGAATATCCTGAAGTTTTTCCCGAGAACGTGCCTGGATTGCCTTCGGAGAGAGAAGTTGAATTCTCTATAGACTTGGTTCCTGGTGCTGGACCAGTTTCCATGGCACCCTACCGAATGTCGCCCGTAGAACTTGTTGAGTTAAAGCAACAAGTGGAGGAATTACTTGGGAAGCATGAGGAATAAAAGGTGATGAAGAAGAGTTACCTGAAGATGATTAAAGACAACTATTAACAGAGAGATTATAGTGAAAGTCCTGCAAATAAGTTGATTTCTGTCTAATTGTTATAAAATGCCTCAAATTAGCAATATTAGGTATATCAAGTGGCTTAAGCAAGTCCATATTAGAGTGAAAGGGTTGAGGTATGTTGCATGAGTCTAAAACAATGGTTGACTCATGTTGAAAGGAGAAAGTGTCTTAAAAAAGACAACATTCCTTGATACATTTAGAGTTATAGTATGAAGATCATAGAGTAAGTAACCTTTAATATGCTCCTTGTAATCAAGAAAAACAGATTTAATAGCTTTAGGATAGAACTTTGTTCTATTGGCCTGTAATGTACTTGCATATGCTAGGCATCCAAAAAATTTTAAATGCTACAGTAATACAAGCTTATTGTACAAAATTTCATAAGGACACTTTTCATCTAATAATGGAGTTGGAAGTCTATTAATAATGTGATTTGTATGAGTCACAATATAACATCAAAGTTTCTTTAGTAAATTGGCTTGAAAGAAAATAGCATGAGCAACATTCATAATATGTTATGTTTTCTCTCAACAATATTATTTTGTCGAGAGGTCTCAACATATGACTTTTGGTGTAAAATATCCTTACTTGAGTAAAAATCAGTCATAAAAAATTCTAGATGGTTATTATTTCTTATTATTTTGAGTTTAACATTGAATTGTGTATTTATATAAGAAATTTTTTTGGATGTGTGATCTAGTTTCTCCTTTATTTTTCATGAGTATAATCCAAGTAAACCTAGAAAAGTTATCCACTATTGTTAAAAAATATTTATGTCTATTTTTTTTAAATTTTCTTTCCCACATTTATCCTCAGGTTTGATAGAATAAAATGCTGTTACAAACAAAAATAATAAAAAAACTTGGGAAATAAGTTCGGCCTTAGAAACATAAATTTTACATTGTGCAGATTTCTGCTCAGCACCCACAATGAGCTTTAGACATGAGAAAGGAAACTCAAGATTTTTGGCATTTTATAAAAAATCCTAAATGGACCAGTATAAAGAGGCAAGTAAGAGATTTGGTTAAAGGGTTTTTTTGTCGAAAAGAAAAAAAATTTTCAGAAATTTTTTTTAGGAGAGACAACAAGTTTCTCTGAAAGATCTAAGCAGAGGAGAAAAGGGATAAAGAATAAAAAGGAAGAAGTAAGAGTGAAGCAATAGAGAAAAGAAAACAAAAAGAAAGAAGATTAAAGAAAGGAAAAGAATTCAAAAATACAGACAGAATATCATTCTTTGACTTTGTATAATTTCTTTTGATGTGACTTTGTTCTTCTCTTTCACTGGGCTGTAGTTTGAATGCTATTTCTATTTGTGTTTGAGCATCTAGTATGACGTTTTTTCTTTTTTCTCTTCGAGAGCTTGAATATTATTTCTGATTTGCATTTGGGTATCTTTCCTCCACAACTAAAATATTATGATGGTTTGCCTATAAAGATAGAGATAAAGCATTTTAGTATATTTTTGTTTCTTTTTCTCTTGATTAGATCATACACTGCAAACTACCTCATGTGACCTTGCCATTTATACAATACAAAGAATTACCACTTTAACATCTTTTCTTTATATTTTTATAATGCAATGAAATGGATGTAATGTCTCTTTCTCGATGCCATCTGTAATATCCCTAATTTCTTTAAATAGTTTTCCTCTTAAGAAAAATAGAAATATCAGTATGATATGATTAAAATAAGTGAAAGATAAATAAATATAAGAATTTTTTTTTCGTATATGTAGTATGTGGATCACCAAAATGTGCAAGATTTAAAACTTTATACATATAAAGTTCATTCATAATAGCATTGAAGACATAATTTTGGAATTATAAATTCGCAATTAAAGAAAAGCTAAAAATTTTATATTTACAGTTAATTACTAAATATTACACCTGTACTTTGAATTATGATTTAAAATGATTACATTTTATAAATAACTTTGAATGGAAACTCAATTAACAGTCCTTTTTCAATAACGCAAATCCCTCAGAGTAGTTCTTTTTCTACCATTCCTTGTGAGTATGATCCTAGAACGAATTAATTTTTTTTTTATCATTTCATTACTTGAAAAATTTTGTAAGGATGAGCATCCCTCACCCTACGAAAAATCTTATTTTATAAAATAATAAATAATATTGCAGAAACATTTTCTAATATAACATGTAACAGAATAACAATGTTCCGTACTTAACAAATTTAACAAGACAAATTATTCATATACATCTTTCATCATTATCCATACGTATTCCATTTCTTATTTAATTAACCCAATCAAATTCAACACCACAATTCACACTACTTTACTTATTCATACAATTTTAATTAACAAAAGTTATTCTCGAATATTACTCCATATTTAACCAAATATATCAAATTCATATTTTCGTGCTACTTTATCTATCTCAAGTTTGAATATTTCATCAATCAACGATACTCTAGGTATTCTCGGGCGCCTAAATTGCTACTAACACACTCTTCTTAGTTACGAAGAACTTACGCAACATGGATAGTCGTTGGTCAGCTAAACCACACACAGATACAACATGCGCGTTCATAGCCTTCCAAACAAAGGTATAGTTAGGAGTTTAATCAAGAAATGAGTATAAGGCCTATAAATGCATCTCACTTTTATATAATATACACATCAATGAACTTTATTTACCACTCTCATTTCCCCCACATTTTCATAATCAACTCTAGATCCTAAATCCCCAATGTATCCCTGAATTATCCATACAATATCTCAACATTGGCACATCAAGTTATACTACTCTAATACAAATGTTGCAAACACACTAATTGATGTACTACAACATATGTGTTATAATCTCATCTGTCGGTGTATTACAACACATATATCATAATGGCATCAATCGGTGTATTTGTAACACACGTGCTAATGTCCCTTTCTCTTTTCGCCACACATATTCACCACTTTTCAGTTTTCACAATTTTCCTTTCTCTTATAATCAATTGTATACTTTTTTAGAAATTCTCAAACAATTATACTTATTTAAACTTAACCCAACTCACACATATAGGACATATACCTTTTATATCACTCTCACACAGCAACAAACTTCTCAATTACGTATATAATCACAAGGCAGACACATATCCTCACACAATTTCATGCAATATGTCAAGGGTCGGACACTCTCAAATTCAGTCCAAATCGTGCAATCTAGAATATACTACCGGAGATCACATTCTCTCGATTTTAATGGAATCTTCTAACCTAAAGTTCAACATATTTCACCTTTTCACTATTCAACACACACATTATAAAAAATAGTAACTTATCCATAAATTTATTTAACTTATTCTTATTCGTAACTATTTATGATAACTACATCTCAAGTGATTTTAAAAGGATCAAAAATCTCTTTTATACCAAAAATCCATTTCAAAGTTATTTAGTTTCAAGAAAACTTTATGAATTTACATTTTAAAATAAGATAACCTCTAATCTAAAAATTAATAAAGATATTTAGGTAGAATATAGGGTTAAGGAGTAACTCCCCTTACCTGGAAATGAATTTCAATAACTAAGTTCTTCGTGTGCTCTAGAGAAAAACTCCACATCTCGACCAAAAATACTACTCGACTAGAGTTCTTCCTAACATCACAAGGTATATTTCTATTATAAAAAAGAGAAAAGAGAAATAGGAACGAGATTCAAGGAATGAACTCCAGAAACTTATTTAGATTTTAGTGGAATGGATGTTTGAGCTTAGATCCGAAGGAAATCCAGAGTTTTTGAAGGTTTTCTTTGGGAAGGAAAAGGGAGAGAACAAAGAGGATGGAAAGAAAGCTGATTTGGTTGAAAATGAAGTTTTTAGGACAAAAATTCTTTAAATATCTGTCAAACTCGTGACTTTCTCACTACAGTAAAAAAATTAAAAAGTTTTTTTCCTTTACTGTTTGTCATTATAGCTACAGTGAGAGATCCTTGCTACAGCAAGAGGGCTCCAGAGAACCTGATTCTGAATGACTTATCTCGCTACAATGAAATATCCTATAATTCACATCAATTAAACACTTCTAATTTCAAATAACATGTGCAAACAACTAACATAATTTGAAATAATTATAAATAACAAAAGTAGGGTGTTACACCATCTATCATGCACAGTGATCCCATCGATTATGCTCAGTGGATTTACGTTTTTTACTACATCCTATCACATCAATTTCACATCTACCTTACATCTATTTTTTGTTTTTTTATATTTATGAATAAATAAGATATTATTTATGTATCAACATTTTTTTAGTTTATTTATTCATTTATTTTTATTATTAAATTTTATAAAAATGATAATACTGGAATATTGATAATAATAAAATAAAAAAATATTTTTTTGCAACAAAATTAAATAAAACATTTATCTCTAAATATATTATTATTATCTAAATATTAATGTCTATTAATTTTAATTAATTAATTATTTATTTATTTTGTTGTTGTAAAAATTAATATAATTTAACTTAGATTCATATTTTTTTTTCATGATTGATAAGTTAACTTCATTTCAAAATTATATAATAAATAAATATACAAAATTAAGGCAATGGTGTATAATATTAATGTGTAACAACTCTGTCATTATACGTTGTAAATCATTGAGACTTATATATACCTACGATATCTTAGTTCTTATGTAATATATGAATAGTTTTAAGAAAAATTAATTATGTTTAAAAAAAACTCTAACTTTATCAACCAAAATATATTTTTCTTCTATTTATAAAATAAATAATTTACTAATGCATTAATTAAAACAAAAATTATTTTAGTATACTAAGTGCAATGATTTATAACGTTAATGTGTAGCACTTTTCCTTTATACATTATAAATTGTCAAAAATTTATGTGTACCATTGTTATCTTGAGTTTTATACATTGTCAATATATTAAAACAATTCTATCCGAATTCTA